GGGGAGAAGTGAGGGATTGGAAAAGTAAGATGGAAGTCAGAGAGGGGGCTGAACTCCAAAGGTGGTGAGCTCATAAAAGCCATTGTCCCCTGGCTTTTTATGAGCAGAGAGACAAGAGCATGGGTTGACTAGACCTAAAGAACTGAGAAAAGGTGGGGGCTGGAGAGATGGCTCAGAGGTTAAGAGTACTGGTTGCTCTTCCAGAGGTCCTGAGTTCAGATCCCAGCAACCACATGGTGGCTCAAAACCATCTGTAATGAGATCTGGTGCCCTCTTCTGATCTGCAGACATGCATGCAAGCAGGACACTGTATAATCTTTAAAGGAAAAAACAAACAAACAAAAAAATGACGTGGTGCTTAGGGTGGAGGTGACATGTTTGCGAGACTGCAGCAGCGATCCTCGGTGTCGGGGAGGGTGGCAGCTAGGAGCAGAGGAGGTGGTGCAAGGTCTGGTGACTGGCTGTAATTCCAGGTCAGTAGAGGCAGGTACAAGTTGACCAGTGTGAGGCCAGCCTGGGCTACAGAGCAAATCTTGGGCTCACACAAAACAAAACAAGTAAGTTTGGAGAGATGGCTCAGTGGTTAAGAGTATTGGTTACTCTAACAGAGAGAGCCCAGGTTCAATTCCCAGTAACATGGTAACTCATACCTGTCTGTAACTCCAGTTCTAGGGGACACAATCCAGTGCCGCCTTCTGCCCTGCAAGGGCGCAGCATGTATGTGGTGCACTTACATGCAATGAGAATACTCATACACAAAATAAAACAAATAAATAAAAGGCTGAAACTATAGGTCAATGACAGAACTCTTATCAGGCTTACAAGGCCTAGGTTTAATCCCCAGTCTCTCTCTCTCTCTCTCTCTCTCTCTCTCTCTCTCACACACACACACACACACACACACGAATGTGGCAGTCTTGTTGGAGTTTCCTCCAGGGAGGTAATGGATAATATGACTTTCTGCCAGAGCAAGGGTTCCTGGCCTCAGCACTGTTGGCTTTGGAGACTAAGGAATGCTTTGCTATGGGGCTGTCCTGTATGTTCAGGAAGCTGCATAACACCCTACTCTCTGCCAGTAGCTCCCTGTCCCTAGCTGTGCCCCCACACACGTTTCCCTATAATAGTGAGCTATGATACAATAGCTAAAACTCCCTGCCGTCTACATCTATGAGCATGACCTCTCCTCTCCCTTGAGGGCCCTTATAGTTAGGGCAAACCCACTAGGCTTCCCAGCGGATAGTTGGTTAGATAACACAGAAGGCAGAGGGGCTGGGGCTACAGATGCACCTACCTGTTGTTTTGTTTCTAAAATGGGACCAATAAAAGTGGCTTCCTTTGTCAGGGGGGTAACAAGGATGAAGGAGGTAGTGATAGCAGCAAAGTGCTCAGCGAAATATGGGTGGGAGGGGCTGCAGAGCTGAGGAGAGCCCCCCCCACCCCGTATGTGTGTGGGGGCGGGGGTTCTGAGCTTACAAGGGCAAGTGTGTCACCTCTGGAGCCACACAGGCTTCATTCCTATCCTGCCGTCCAGCTATAGCCTTATTTCCCATTTCCTCTAACAAGCCAGTTGAGCTCAGCTGTCAGAGTTACATTTGGGGTGACATTTCTCTGTGACTGCTGTCCTTTATACCCCTACACCCCAACTGCATCAAATGCTTTATAGACCCAGGTGGGAATCATACCATGATCCTCTTCCAATCACCTCAGGCCACTGGGCTTGTACCCACCTGCCCCAGCTCCCCATGCGAAGGGCATAAGCCCAGGGCCCATGTGATCTCCCCACCGGTAGGTAAACTGGGACAGGGTGGATTGGCCCCCAGCTGTTGACCTTGCTTTGAACTTGTTTACTGCTGGTTAAGCTCAGGGAATGACATAATGTCCAAGTTCCCTGAACTAAATTTAGGTCCCGGGAAAATAATTTCCCCTGGGTGAGTTCCAGAGGCACCAGAATGCTCAGAGAACAGGCTGCTGTCTTGAGCCCTGGCATGCTGCAAACTGCACCATTGGCTCCATCTGAGACCTCAGGCCTGGCTCTCAAGGAAGCCTCGAGCCCGGGCATGCCTCTGCCAGCAAACAGGCAGTGTGAATCTCCAGATCTCCTGTAACTGACTGTCTGGGGCATAAACCCTCCTCTCCTCCATCTGCAGAGCCCGGTGCATGCAGAAAACAAACTGGCCACAGAGGCAAATGCCACCGATAAGGCAGACTTTTTAGGTCAGTTACATATGTGTTTTGTTAAAGCAAACAAAAGAAATAGAATACAAAATTAATCTGGTTTTTTTCTTCTCTCCAAGCGGAATATCATGTAGCAGCCAAGGCTGATCTTGAACTCCAGACTTCCACCTCCCAAATGCTGAGGCTGCAAATATGCACTGCCAAACCAGGCGCGATGGTGCACGCCAAAAATACACAGAAACCCCGTCTTAAACAAACAAACAAAAATCCAAACAAATATGCACTACTGCCATGCCCAAATTTTCTTCGTTTTCTTCTTTCTCTCTTTTATTTTTGGGTTAGGATCTCAGTAGCCTGGGCTAGCCTGAAGCCCACACAGGACTGCGCCACCCTGCCTGGACCTCTAACTTTTCCTTTTTTAAAAAAATTTTATGTGTGAAAGTGCTTGACCTGTAGGTATGCATTTGTACCACGTGTGTGCATGATACTCCGAAAGATCAGAAGAGGGAGTAAGATCTCCTAGGACTGACGTTACCAGTGATTGGGTGCTAGGAACCAAATTCAGGTTCTCTGCCAGAGCAGAGCAGCAGGTGCCTTTAATCCCTGAGCCTCTCACCAGCTCCCAGCTTCTCCTATGTAGTAACTTAAAATTCATGCCCAGACCTGGTGGTGCCCACATGTAATCCCAGCACTCAAGAGGCTTGGAGCAGGAAGATCACAGACCCGAGACTAGCCTGTGCCCCACAGCTTCACTGTCAAACCTATCTCCAAAGAGAGAAAAGGAAGTAATGTGAAATGAACCACTTTTCCAGCTGGTGAAGCTGGGCTGTAGGTAGATGTCATGCTTGGCCCATGAGAAAGCCCCGGTTCAACACCCAGGGCCCACCTCCCCACCCCGCCAAAAAAGAAAGAAAAAATATTGAACTAAACCGTTTCTTTTCTTTGTTTTTTATTTTCTTTTTGTGTGTGTATTGGGGGGGGTGTTCAAGATAGGATTTCTCTGTATAGCCTTGGCTGTTCTGGAACTCACTCTGTAGGCCAGGCTGGCCTTGAACTCACAGAGATCCGCCTGCCTCTGCCTCTGCCCCCCTCCCAAGTGCTGGGATTAAAGGCGTATGCTACCACCACCCAGCAAACTGAACCATTTCTTTTTTTTTTTAAGATTTATTTATTATGTATATATAGTGTCCTGTCTGCATGTATGCCTGCATGCCAGAAGAGGGTGCCAGATTGCATTACAGATGCTTGTGAGCCACTATGTGGTTGCTGGGAATTGAACTCAGGACCTCTGAAAGAGCAGCCAGGGCTCTTAAGTGCTGAGCCATCTCTCCAGCCCCCAAACTGAACCATTTCTAAGTGAAAAACAGTTCACCAGTGTCTAGAATATTATGTCTCGTTCCAGAACTTTTTCCTCAGTCCACAAAGAAACTGTGCATACTGCATAATCCGTCTATGCCTTCCTCATAATGACCAGTTTGCTGCGTGTGTGTGCTGGTGAGAGTGGACACTTTGCATAAAGAATGTGATGTATCTTGCCTTCCACCCGGTCAAGGCTGTGACTGCTGTGCTGTACAGTCCAGGCCAGCTGGCCTTGCCCTTCGGAGCCGACTAGTCTCCAGCCTCCACTTCCCGTCTCGCTGTAGTCACAAGAGTGCTGGTATTACAGACGTGTGCCGCTACACCTTCATTTTACATGGATTCTGAGGAGCAAATCTGGATTTTTAGGCTTGTGTGGCGAGTACCTTTACCGCCTGCCCCCAGTCGTCTGCCTGGCCTTCCTCTGTAAGGAAGACCACATTTTGTTTCTCCGTTTGGCTGTTCCCACTGTTGCTGTCATCTTTGGGAATAGTGCCACTGTGGCATTCATAGTCAAGACTCTGTAAGTCTCTGACTTTAGTTCTTTTGAAAATAAAATTTCTAGGTCATGTGTTTTAAGTTTTTGAGGAACTGCCGTTAATGTGGATTTTCAAGGCAAATCTAAGCCAGACATTCAGGCATGGGCCTATAGTCACAACATTCAAGAGACCAAGGGAAGATTGCAACAGCTGAAGCCAGCCTGAGTTGTCCAGTGAGTACTAGGCCAGCATATATAATAAATAAGTAGACGATACTAAACTCTGAAAGAACCTCCAGGTTTACAGAGAGTTTGAGTCTGTGTCCTAGATAGTCCGCCAGTTACTTCCACCTAGAGTTAATTTGCAGTTGGGGAGGGCATGTTTTTGAGATAGGTTGTCACTACATAGCCCAGATTGGCCTTATATTCTTATTTGCCCTGCCTCAGCCTTCCAAATGCTAGTTTTTTACACAGCCTTATGCCAGTGGCCAGGGTGGCTATTGTCAACATTGTATTTATAGGGAAGGCAGGGATCTTGGGCAGGATCCCGTGGTTCAGCAGGGGCAATGGCAGTGTTTGAACTTAAATCTGTCTCTAAACTTCATCCCTCTGCATCCCGAGTTGTAAGTGGAGCGCGCCCCCTCCCCGCCCCCCCCCCTGCTCCGGTCCCAGTGCTGTGAACAGGAACTCTGACGAGCCACGGAAAGGCGAGCTGCTGGTTTGGATAGGAGCAGAGCGCCAGCAGGGCCTGGGAGCTCCTACCCGCCCTGCATGCTAGCCGTCTGCACCCTACCTGCCTCAGACTCGAGACAGCTGCTGGCTATGTGCCCACACTACTTATATATTCTTTTAGTTCGTGTTTGGATTTTGCTCTTTGTTTTTCCTCTGCCTCAGAAAGTAAACCGTGGCTGCTTAGTAGACTTTTTAAAACCAGGGTGAGGCTGGATGATGGTGGCACATGCCTTTAAATCCCAGCACTCAGGAGGCAGAAATGCATGGATCCCTGTTAGGGTGAGGCCAACCTGTTCTACAGACTGAGATCCAGGACAGCCAGGGATACACGGAGAAATAGTATCGCAAAAAAATTTGAAGAAGGAGGAGGAGAAAAGAGGAAGAAGACATGCTGTCTCAAAAAAAAAAAAATTTGAAGGAGGAGGCAAAGAAGACAAGAAGACATAAGGTAAAACCAGGGTGAGGGCTGGAGAGATGGCTCAGCAGTTAACAGTGATCTGAGTTAGATTCCCAGCACCCATGTTGGGCAGTTTACAACTCCTGTAACTCTAGTTCTCAGGAATCCAACACCCATAGCCTTTGCGAACCCCTCACTGAGGTGCTCGTGCCCCCTCCAATTAAATTTAAGGGCCAGGCAGTGATGGCAACTCGCCTTTCATCCCAGCACTCAGGAGGCAGAGGCAGGCGAATCTCCAGCCTAGTCTACAGAGCTAATTCTAGGACAGCTAGGGCTGATACACAGAAACCCTTTCTTGAAAAACCAAAATAAATAAATAAGTAAAATCTAAATTGATAAAGTCAGGGTGACCTGTCGTTGTGGCCTGTGTGAGCAGCTCCGGCTCAGGTGGGGTTTTGCAGGCCCTCCTTCCTTTTTTCCAGAATCGAGAGGCATGCACTACCACTGCCCGGCACAGTTGATTTTAACTTTTTTTTTTCCTCTCTTTTCTCAATGGTTAGTTGTAAAAAGCCAAATGGTCCTGTAGTGCCTGTGCCACTACAAGACAGTACGTGAGCAGAGAGAGAGAGGGAGAGAGTGGAAGGGAGGGAGGGAGGGAGGAAAGGAGACATGGGTCACTCTTGATACAAGAGTGCCACACTTTATTGTGCTCAGGGGCAGCTTATATAGGGCTCCTTAGCCACGCCCAGCTCTCAGGATCTTTCAGCTGCAGGCCTCATCAGAACCCAGTCCCCAGCCATCAGGGTCTCATGCTCGGAGCAGTGCCACACAGGTGTTTTGCTCAGTTCACTCCAGCAGGCAAAGGGTCCCTATATAAGCTGCCCCCAGCACAATAGAGTGTGGCACTCTTGTATCAAGAGTGACCCACATCTCCGCCTCTCTCTCTCTCTCTTTGTGTGTGTGTGTGTGTGTGTCTGTCTGTCTGTCTGTCTGTCTGTCTCTGTGTTTTTGAGTCTCCAGCTTAGTCCCTGGCTCGCATACCGTCTTGTGGCACGGATGCTACAGGACCATTCAGCTTTTACAAGTGGAAGCTCCCAGCGAGATCGGATTTTTACAGCTAGTCATTACTCTGGTCACCAGAGAAACGTCCTTAATTATTAAGAGAAATTTTAGGCTAGGGATTTAGTTCAGTTGGTGGCGTGCTCACTTGGCCAAGCATTCAGGAAGCACTGGGTTTGATCCTCAGAACTGAATATACTATGGCAGTGCACACTTGTGGGTCCCAGCATTCAGGAGGTAGAGTCCATAGGACCAGACGTGCAAGGTTATTCTTAACTACTTAGAGATTCGGAGGCTGGTCTAAGGGGTGGCAGGATGGCTCAGCAGGTGAAGGTGCTTGTCCCCAAGCCTGCCAACTTGAGTTCAGTCATCAGAACTCACATGGTAGGAGAGAACACTCTATCAGGTTGTCCTCTCCGCCACACGCTCTCTGTGCATGTAAGTACATAGAGTAAATAAACAAATGTGGGGTTTTGTTTCTTTCTTTTGTTTTTGTTTGTTTGTTTGTTTGTTTGTTTGTTTTAAGATTAGAGACTAGAAAGATGACTCAGTGGTTAAGCGTATGTGCAGGGAACCCTGGTTTGGTTCCAAGCACCCCCTTGGTGGCTCAGAGCCATCTGTAACTCCAATTCCAGGGGATTGCATGTTCCTCCCTGGCCACTGCAGGCAAGGGCACACATGTGGTGCACTTATGCGGGCACAGCACCCATCCACATAAAAGAGAAATAACCCTTTGAAAAACTTATTTGGGAAAAGTCGGCTCTCTCTTCAAAAGTCTGCTGAAGTCTGTGGGAGCCAGGGAATGATTGCTACGGTACCTGGTGCCCAGCAGAGGGCACCAGACACTGGCAGCATTGTGTACAAAGTAGTTCTTCAGGCAGGGTAGGCATGCATGGAAGGAGGTTTGGAGACCCACAGAGCCCCCCTGTGGCCTACCTTGTTACCAGATAAACGAAAAACTTCCCAAGTTTTAGCTCATCTAACTCTGGAAGTTCTCAGCCACAAAAGTACCCAGATCCGGGTATTTTTAGTATTTGGTGCCTCTGGTGCTACTTCTCAGGCGTCTGAAAACAGCTTCTGTCGTCTTGCTTTTTGCTCAGATGCTTCTGATGAGCAGAATTCACAGTCTTCGATGGAAAACTCAATGATCAGCTCAGAAAAAGTAGAACGGCAGCCGTCTGCAGAGTCGGGGTTGGCAGCGGAAACTTCGGCAGTCTCTCAGGTATCCGCAGCCAGGCCCTGCTGGGGCGGAGCTAGGGTTCTCCGCGGTCCACTGAAAGTCCAGCCGCTTCACTGTCGTACAGTTAGAACACTGCTTGTCCACTGGACAGCGGCTGAATGTGTTAGCCTCTGTCACCTGGGGCCACCGTGTTAGGAGGGACTTGTGGTCCTGCTTCAGGAAGCCTCTGGGGTAGAGCATGCACACTCGTGTTCTAGTCTCAGCTTGGTGACGGTATTTTTTGGGTCCGTGAAAGTACCACCTCATCCCAGTGACCCCACGTTCTTTAAGGTTAAAGAAGATTCGATCCCAGACACCTGAAAGCCAGATAGGTTCTTCTTTGGAATTTTGCTTCTGATCCAGCCCCCTGCTCAGACCGCTTCTGTGTTGTAACTGAACATAAACATCTCTCGAATTGTTCCGTGCAAAAATAAGACCCAGGGGCAGGAGGCAGATAAAATGGAGTCTCATTCAGGTTCCAATCCCGCTCCAACCTGATGGGTAGGGAGGTGCAAGCCAATAATCCCAGCTACTTGGGAAGTTGAGGCAGGAGAATCACAAGTTCAAAGCTAGCCTGGGAGACTTAATGAGAGCTCACACGTCTCTGTCTGGCCTGCCCTGTGTCCTCACTACCTAGAATAGGCCCAGATCTCTAGGAGGTGCTATGCTCACCATGATGAGAAGGTGCTGCTAGATGTGGGAGGGGGGGGGAGCTGGGCCTGCAGCTCAGTGGCACAGCACCTGCTGATCATGTGTGACGCCTCAGGTGCTATCCACAGCTGCATCCCTGAGACCCTGGGCATCTGCCATTGCCAGGCCTCATCTGTCAGCCGCCAATGAAGATTAGATGAGAAAATATGGGTAAGGTGCCAGCCAGAGCCCAGTGTAGACACACAGATGTCATCGGCCGGGGCCACTGTGTTGTGTTGACAGAAGAGGGGCTGGAGATACAGCTCAGGGGTTAAGAGCACTTACTACTTACAGAGGACCCAGGTTCCATTGCCAGCACCCACATACGAGCTCACGACCGTCTGTCTCCAGTTCTACGGGGACCTGACAAAGGCACATGGTGCCCTTACATGCATGCATTCATTCACGCAAAATAAATAAATCAAGTTTTAAAAGTAGAATTTTTAAAAGATGTGAGATTCTGAAGAAGCATCAGCTGTATGTAACTCAGTGGTAGAGTCCTTGCCTAGCATGTCCCATCATAAAAAAGGGGAAAGAAGAAAAATGTTCCTCGCTCTGGGGCCAGGATGACCCCTTTTTGTTGACCTAAGTCTATTGTTCTTCCTGAGAGCCCAGAGACTTTCCTCTTCTCTGTCTTGATGTGGAACAGCCCAAGCTGACTCACCCTACTAGATCCTCAGCACGGCAGAAGGATCCTCCTTCAGCCAGACCCAACAGTCCTGGCAGCACCTTTGCCCGCTCTTATATCTGTGTCTCCCTTCAAAAAGCAAACCGGGAAGCCAGGTGTGGTGGCGCGGGCCTTTAATCCCAGCACTTGGGAGTGCGGCAGAGGCAGGCGGATGGCTGTGAGTTCAGTACTGGTCTAGACACTGGGTTCCCAGCCAACTAGGACTGCATAGTGACACCCTGTCTCAAAGGAGGCGGAGGGTGAGCAGTGAGGTGACGCCACTGGTCAAGGCACCGCGCCAGGCCTGATGACCTAAGTTCACAATCTAGGACCCATGTAGTGGAAAGAGAAAAATGACTCCCTCAAGCTATCCTCTGACCTCTCTACACATATCCATGTGCACGCCCAGTGCATATAAAGAATGAACGTAATAAAACATTAAATTAAATTCCAAGGTAGTGAGGAAGAGAGCCCCCTTCCCTGATGCCAGGCCTTGTCCCGAGTCCTCAGAGAACGCTCTCTCAGCCTTCTGTTTAGTTCTGATGCCCAGACTGGTTTCTCCTTGACACAGTTAACACAGCACATGCTACAGACCAAGCCCTATCCCGGGACTAGGGTGGCTCAGGCAGAGAAGTTTTATAGACAGACACAGGACACTAAGCCTCTGTCTTGAGAGATGGCGTGGGTTGATGCAAAGAAGCATGAGATGAGCCTGGTGACCTGGGCTCTCTTTAGATTGAGAGGAGTCTCCTGTACCTCGGGTTTGAGAGCCATGAGCCCAGGAAGAGTACAGGCTTCGCGGGATGGGATGACTGGAAAGAGGGGGCTGTCCAGGCACAGGCTTTATTCCACACCTGTGGTAACATGAAGACATCAGAGGCCAGGGAGCGCAGTTAGCATGGATACTGTCTGCAGTTTGGTCTCGGGTGATGGCTGGGGTCTGAGAGACCAGAGGTGACAGCTGGTGAGTGAATACCCTTTTGGGTGTCAGAAGACTTCTGGGGAATTCAGTGACAAGGATGAACCCCTTTCCCTAGAATAATGTCCATATGTCCACTCAGCATGAGCTCAGCATTTGCAGCAAGCTGTGTCTGTAGCCTGAGGGACAACAGTCCACACAACAGAGCCTTCCACTCAGGTGCTTACCCCGCAGTTACAGACAGGAAGACTCCTCACAAGGGAAACATGGTCTAGGCTTTGTGGAATTAAAGGCCAGGGGCTAAAAATACAGAGGGAACAGCCTGTGTCATGGTTCAGAGTAACAGTGATCATAGAGTAAGTGGGTTTCACACGCTCTCCAAACCATTTGGATTTCAAGTTTGCCGTGTGACTGGACCCTCTCCTCCCCACAGGCAGTGCTCGTGGGGCTGGTTAGAGCTCGCTTCCCTCTGGAGCCAGTCTGCTGTCCCACCCGTGTCCTAACTGCCCTCCCTGCTTACACTGACCCCAGTTCCTTCTCTTCTTCCCCTGAAGGATTTGGAAGGAGTGCCACCCTCTAAAAAGATGAAGCTGGAATGTTCTCAACAGAACTCTGAAGAGATGTAGACACCCAGTGGAACCCTTTGGTCCATGTTTCATGGCAGGTACATCAGCAGGCTTAATTCTAGAACGCTGCCCAAGCGATTCCTCTTGGGTGCGAACAGAACTAACGTTTCAAGTTTACTAAGTGCAAATCCAAGAAAAACCTAGAACGGTGGAACTTCTCAGACGCTGGCGAGCTCTGCTGTGAAGCGAAACACTCGAACCTTCAAGTGACTGTCCTTGGGAAGTGGGCCGACAGCTCAGGAGTGTCTGCACACTGTCTCGGAAGCCAAGATTACATTTGTGTTGCTGCTGTATCCCCTGCCCCCACTTCTCTATTTAATGATATAAGCTATTTGAGGGTGGTACCAGTCAGGAATTTGCTTTTCATAGGGGCTTTTTCACTCTTCAACCAATTCCTTCCGCTTTCTTTTTTTGTGCCTTGTACCCTAGAGGTTACCTCTGGCATGCTTCCTGGTTTTTGCATCTCTCCTGGCAAAGTGCCCATTCGTTTTGATTGGCTGCTGCCCCCTTCCTGTCTCTCTCCTCCCTGCCCCGAGACTGCTTCAGAGCAGGCAGGTAGAGCAACAGGAGATCAGGCACCTTGAGCGGCTCCTGGTCAGGTGGGCAGTGTTTGGGCACACCCTGCACCCTACCTGGAGCCAGCCCCAACGTCCAGGGCCCCTAGGGCTACAAGTGTCAGCCTCGTTTCCCAAGGGCTGGCCTCCTTGGTTCAGGACATGCCCTCGCCTCCTGGAGCCGTGGAGGCTCGGGGGTTTGCAAGCCGCGGTAGCCCAGATTGACATGCAAAGCCTTTAGATTCTTCTGGCACTTCCACCCTATTTCCCCCCACTCTCGCCACCACTGGCACTGCTTTCTCCAGGCCCTCCGAGGACAGAATGACTGACTGAGCTTGTCTCCTTAGGATACAGGGCTGGGGAGGTTGGGAGCAGGCAGCAGGAAAAGCTGGTGCTGAACTCTCCCACAGGACATTGCTTGGATTTCAAATCCATGGAAACCTGACGCCCTCCGTCCCTGTCCCCTGTCCTCCCACCCCAGATCCCAGGCCAGATGCTCCTGGCATCATGTCCTGACTCTCAGAGGCAACAGGTGGATGGAGTCTTGTTCCCAGCATGAGCTGTCAGCCTTCATTGGGGAGCGGACCTTAACAATTGGGCCTCAAAGGCCAGAACCAAGGCACCGAGGAACTGGGAAGATTTGCACACAGCCCCAGAAAGGAGCCACGGAGGCTCCCCCTTCCCCTGCCCTCAATTGCACCGAGACAGCTTTCTCTCACTCAGTGGAGACACCCCTTGGACGAGCTGCCCACCTGTTGAGTTCTGAGGCCTGGTTTGCTCTTAATTCCCCCACGGACCCCTCAGACCTGCCGGCTTCCCCCGCGCTTTCTTACTGCACTGGAGCGCTGACTCCCTACAAGTTGTATGTTGGGGTGGGGGGAGTGGGGTGTTTTGTTTTTTGTTTTGTTTTTTTGTTTTGTTTGCTAATTGGTGCATATTCAGGTACCACCTTGTGACGTGTGGATCTTTCTCCCAATCATCATGAGAAGTGTCTGCCAGGCTCCATTTTCTAAGAGTTTCTGAGGGGAGGAGAGCTCCGATTTCTTCTTCTGTTTTCAAGGGAGCTGTCTATTTCCTATACTCACGAAGAATCAAAATGTTCCTGAATTTTAAATACCTCATGCAAAAATATCTCCTGAAATAAGGGAAGAAAAAAACTTTGAAAATCTTAATGTTGAAGTTAGCAATGCTAAAATGTTTCTGTCTTAAAAAAAATTCTTGTACTTAGCAATTTTGCCCCTCAGGCAGTCAGTTCTATGAAGAACTGTGTTCTGTGTCTTTGCTGGAAAGCAACCAGATGCACGACCTCCAACATATCTCAAGGTCAAGGCGGCTTTACCTCCAGATTCTAGAGTTAGGGCAACATTTTTCTTTTGCAGCAAAACTCCATTTTGGTGAAAGATGAATTTGGATATTTATTTCTTTTTCTGGGAAACAAGCGGTTACAACATACACAGCTGAAGGAGAGCCCAGCACATGCATCCACGGAGCCAGCAGGGCGGCCAGGGCCACCTGCACCTCTTCTGTCCACTGCAGCCTCTCCGGACAGTCAAGAGGAGCTGACGCAGTTGAGGATGAAGACAACGACGAGGTCCACGGTACCGAGGCTGTCATTAGTTTTTCTCTGAAGTGCCTGAAGGTAGGAATGGGCCGTTGATGGGGACCATTCGGGTGCCCCCGACGGCCACGCCAGGCAAAGAGCCAGCAGCCTTGCACTGCACGCTGGCCAGGAAAGCCTTCCACGCGGAGCGGTCAGACTGCAAAATCAATGTGCTTCCTTCCCCGCCACGGTCCTCTCTCTGGAGCCGATGGTCCCCATTCCTGAACCCCTGCCCTCATCCCCGCCACAGAATCTAAGACCTTTCATCTGGCCGAGCCAGGGGCTGGGGATCCTAAGCAAATGCCTTCCGTGGACATCAGGCCCCATGGCCTAAAGGGCTCCCAGGGCAAACTTCCCCCAAAACTTGAAGGTGGGGGAATGGCGGCTACACATTCCACAAAGTGCTGGCACTTACACCCACAACCCGGAAGGCTATTGACTGGTTCCTAGAGGGTGGTGACTGCCCATCAGACGGTGTCATGGTTTGGAATGTTAGTTATCGCCGAGGACCTGGTTAGAGATATAAAGACCTTTTTTTTTCACTGTTACCTTTTTTTTCCTCTCTTACAATTTTTTTGGTGTGTTGTACAGCAGTATAATTTTTCACTTATTTATTCCATCAGTAGATATTGTTTGTACAATGTACAATGGTTTCATTTCAGAAAATAAAAAAAAATTCAGATCATGAGTTTCGTGGCTTAACCTATTGTAATAAATAATAAAATCAGGTGGATAAAGAGGATGGATGCCTGCTCTGGCTGCTTCTGCACAAGTCTGGAGCGTTGCTTGTAGGAGACTCTGCTGCCAGCCAGTTGTGATACCTGCCGTTGTTAAACACCAGGTGGGTGCCAGGGCAGCTACTAGACTCTCCTTTTTGTGGGTATGTGTTGTCAATCACCTTGTGCACCAGAGTAAACAGCAGGGTTGTACCTTGTCCAGTTTATGCAGCCAGGTAGAGCTCCAATCTGTCTCTACCTGGGAGCCAGGGTTTGGCAGGCTGAGGCAGGGTGATTGCTGAGAGTTCAAGGCCTGAACTACTTAGCAAATAGCAAGCTAGCCAGGGCTACATAGCAGACCCTACCTCCTGGGTTCAGTCCTCAGCACCAGGTAAAACAGCATGGTCACACCCGGAAAGGGAGCAGGAGGGTTTAGAAACTCAAGGTTTAGCCAGGCGGTGGTGGTGCACGCCTTTAATCCCAGCACTCAGGAGGCAGAGGCAGGCGGATCTCTGAGAGTTTGAGGCCAGCCTGGTCTCCAGAGTGAGTTCCGGAATAGCCAGAACTGTTTCACAGAGAAATTCTGTCTCAAAAAAAACAAAACTTGGAGGTTTTCCTATCTATATAGCAAGTACCAGGTAAGCCTGGGATACAGGACACCAAAAGAGAAAAAACAGATGCTGTCATGGCAGCAATTCTGGTGAGCAAATACTGAAGAGGATGAGGAGGAAGAATCAAAGCCAGCTTCGACCATACCTTTAAGGCAGAGGCAAGCAGACATCTGAGTTTGAGGCCAGCCTGGTCTACGGAGTGAGTTCCAGGACAGGCACCAAAGCTACAGAGAAACCCTGTCTCGAAAAACCCAAGGGGGGTGGGCAGCTGGAGAGTTAGCAGCGTTTGCTATCCTTGCACAGGACCATGGTTCTGCTCCTTGTATCCACAGCAGCTCACAGCCATCTATGACTCCAGTTCCACGGGACCCAACACACTCCTCTGGCTCTGTAGGTCCCAAGCATGCATGTACATATTTGCAGGTAAAACATTGATACACATAAATCTAAAAAGTGAGTAAATCTTCAAAGGGTGGGCAGCAGCTGGGAGTGCTGACGAGATGACTTAGCCCTGCGACCCTTGAATCCAGGTCCTCATGTTGTGGTGACCCAACCATAAAATGAGTTTGTTGTTAGCCAGATAGTGATGGCGGCACACACCTTATTCGTCACAGCACTTGGGAGGCAGAGGCAGGTGGACCTCTGTGAGTTCAAGGCCTCCCTGAGTTCCAAGACAGCTGGGGCTACACAGAGAAACCCTGTCTTGAAAATTTTGTTGCTACTTCATAACTAATTTTGTTACTGTTATGAATCTAATGTAAATGTCAGTGTTTTCCGATGGTCTAAACGAACTCTGTGAAATGGGTTGTTCCACCGATCCCATAGGAGTCACGACCCACACATTGAGAACCTCTTACAGGTAAAGGCTCTCGTGAGCTGAGTTTGATTCCCAGGCCCCCACATGGTAGAAGAAAAGGACTGACTGCCACAAGCTGTTCTCTGACCTTCACACACCTACTGTGGCACATGTATATCTGCACACATGCACGCAATAAATGTAATTTGAAAAGAAATCAAAGGTCTTGGTTTGTAGAGTGCTTGCCTAACAAGCTTGAAGCCCTGGGTTTGATTCTCAGCACCACACAAACAGGATTGGTGCATCCCTGTAACTCTAGAACACGCAGGAGGATCAGAAGTTCAAGGTCATCCTCAGTTACACATTGGGTTTGAGTCAGCCTGAGTTAAAGACCCCCCCCCAAAAAAAACAAACCTTCAGCATTGCAAACATGCTGCTTTCTCTCGGGGGGGGGGGTGGAGGTTCTCCTGGTTTTTGCGTTTTTGTTTTGGGGTTCATTTTGTTTTGCTTTAGGATTTTTAAGACAAGGGTTCACTCTCCAGCCAGGACTAGCCTTGCACTGTTCCCCTTTGGATCGCAAGAGGGTCCCCACACTTCAAATCTTGTTTTTGTTTTAAAGCAGAGTCTTGCTATGTAACCTAAATTGGTTTAGAAGTTGTAATCCTCCTGTCTCAGCCTCTGAAATGTTAGGGTTAGAGATCTGTTCATAGGTATATGTACCACCAGCCCAGCGGTGGTGGCGCATGCCTTTAATCTCAACACTCAAGATGCAGAGGCGTTCTGTGAGGTAGAGACCAGCCTGGTCTACAGAGTGAGTTTCAGGACAGGCTCCAAAGCTACACAGAGAAAGCCTGTTTGGAAAAACAACAAACTTCCTCCTCCTTCCAGATCTGCGTTCCCTCATGGAGATTACTGCTGCTTCCTCCCTATAGGGGGATCTAGCCTATAGGAGAGACTCAATTGGATTATTAATTGGGACACAATTGAGTTGTAGCCTCGTCTTGACTATACCTGGGCTTCTAGTCACTGGTGGTCAGGTCCAAAGCAGAACCGTCTGGCTTATTCTCGGCAGTCCCTCGTGGACTTTTTCCGGCCTGTGCAATCTCACTTCTTCCAGCCGAAACTTGGCTCTTGTCCCGGGTGGTGAGCGTAGGAAGTTTGTCCAAGAGGTCTGGGAAGATGAATGTTTTCTCCTTGTAGCTAACGAACTGCCTGTCCTTCCCGCTCCAGTCCTCTTGCCGTGTACCCAGGTTCTTACCAGAACTGGTCGCTCAGCTAAGTCAACTCCCACTAGGGAACGTTCAACTGTACAAAACACAAATCACAGGGACTTTGTTTATTTAACGGGAGGAGGGGCGGGGGGGGGGGGGGAGAAAGATGAATCCACTGGCACTGCTGGCGCACTTGAACGTGCACCAAGCCTTGTTCCTGGCCTGCTTGCTCTCCTTGGATCCACATCGCTCCCATGCTCTCTCTGAGAATCTTGCCCTCTCTCCTCCCCATGTCTCTACTCTCCAGTCCCTGTCTCTGTTCTGCCTCATTTTCTCCGTGGCTCTGGAGCTGCTTTTCCTGATGTCTCCCCTTATCGGGAAGTCCTGCGCAGAGCCAGCTTTTGCTGAGCCCCATCTGTGGGTCGGGCCCTAGGCAGCTATGACTTGCACTCGGCAGAACAGCGAGCCAAAGCCCTAAGAAAGCTGCCCAGTCTGGGTCAAGGGGATGTGTGCGTTCTGAAGGCAGGGGTCACAAAGCTCCTAGGAGAATGGAGGAACCCCAGGGTGGGAACTAAGACCCCCCCCCCCCCAGCTTTCCCCTGATAGCCGGAAGGAGTGGCTGGTGGTTTCTGAGTCCAGACTCTGCTTGACAAGGGACAATGTTGCCACTAAACAGCATGGACTGAAAAAGGCGACGCCAGCAGTGGAGGCAAGGCAGACGGGAACTGGGACATTGTTTAGAATGTCTTGTGTATTCCCGAGTGAGCTGAAAACAGCCAGTATTGCAGCTAGATAATAGCAGGGAGGGGTTAGTGGCTGGGGAAGGCAGACCAAAAAGAAAAAAAAAAGTTCAACAGTTAGTCAACAGTGTCATATGGAGGTCAGCGGTAGATGTAGATTCTACAGGCCGTTTAACTTCAAGGCTCAACACAGCAACTGCCTTGTCCAGTTGCATTCCTCCGTGCGTCCACTAAGGGTCGCCCTTCATCACTGTCTTTCTAATGGTTTGCCTGGGCTGTCCAGTTGACATAATCCCTCCTCTAGACTACAACTATTGGTTGAGGGATGGCTGCATAAACCTAAAGCGATCCAATGAGAGCCAGTCCTGGGAATTTCCTGAGCACTGGTGCAAAGACGGCTACTGGAGCCAGGGTACAGGTTGTTAAATTTGACTGAAGCCAACATAAAGTTGTTGAGAGACAGTGAGGTTGTGTTTCCTGAGCGAAGCATTTGGGAGAGAACCCCAGTTGCTTCTCTCTAACATGTTAGTTCTATAATCCAATAAATACCCTGGAAGGGTAAGGCCAGTTTGTGTGAGTATTCGTCCCAAGGCTCAGAGTGCCTATTTGATGACTCCAGTCTTGACCGAGCACTCCAACTTGGAGTCCTCTTTGCTAAATCTACAAGCCAAGACAACGGAGGGAGTGTCTGCCCCTGCTCTAAGTCAACCCCTTTTAGAGCTCCCATGTGACAAGGACTTGGAAGTTTCACAGCTATGGACAAGAATATAAACAGAATAGCAGATCCTAATTCGAACCAAATATACAGACTCTTCTAGATGCTTCTGCACTCCGGTACTGTGTGAACTCCCTCAGGCGAGTCTCTTAAGCTTTCTCTTTAGTAAAACGGGAAAAACGAGAGAGCCCGCTACTAATTGGGTTTTGTTTTGTTTTTCTTTTGGGGGGCATGGGGTTCGAGACAGGGTTTCTCTGTGTAGCTTTGGAGGCTGTCCTGGAACTCGCTCTGTAGACCAGGCTGGCCTCCAACTCCCAGCCTGAATCTGCCTCCCAAGAGCTGGGGTGAAAAGGGGTGTGCCACCACCACTCTGCTAGGTAGGTCTGCTGCTAATTTTTAAAAACTACATTATATTTATTTTGTGTGGGGGGCGGTGCACATACCATAGCCGGTATGGGGGTCAGAGGACAGCTGACAGAACGCCTAATGTTGGGCTTGCTCAACCAGTGTTCCTCACCCAGTGCGTAGCGTGAGCCAGCCCTTGTGGGATAAATGTAGCTTCCAGGAAGCAAGAAAAGGAGGTTCCAGGGCTGAGCAGAGTAGAAACACCAGACTACACAAGACTCAGGTCAGATAACATCTCAGCCCTAAGCACTGGGCTCAGGAAAGGAAGCCCTCAAAGAGATCGTCAGAATAGCCCACTGGAGACCCATTCTTCTGCTACCGCCCTCTGATCTTCATTTGCTTGCTCAATGGGCCCCCAGGAAGCAAGGTGAGGCCGCAGTGCCAGGCCTTGGGTGCTGTCTCCCTCTGAGATACCCCCTGGAACACCCGTACCCACGGATGTGATTTGGCTTGAGGACAAGCCTTTCTCTCTCCAGACCTTGGAGGAAAAC